CAGATTGTATTCAATAAATGGTTTTCACCGTAGCACAGCTGTGGTCATCTCTGATGGTTCAGGCCTGCCCAATATGAAGTAAAGTGAAACATTGATAATGTGGTAATTTAAACTTAAAGATCAAAACCAAAGCTTTTGTTGGCATGTTTAAAGTGTCATTCCTTCCAAACTTATAGCGATTAAGGCTCCAGTGTTGGCCTGAAATTGCCAATTCCTTATAAAACTGTAAAACATACTTAAGTGGGGAAAAAATTAAAATGTGAGGTCTTATACTTGAAACTATTCTGTATATTAGAAAAGACTTTACCTTCCATTTGGGTGCAAGATTTCAATGTTAACAAACAACTGCTACATGTATGCTAGATCAGCCTCCAAAAAGCTTAATTCAGCTACTATTACAGAAGGTAATAATACAGTATCATATTAATTCTCAAAAATTGGAAGACTCAGAGTACTGAAATACACAATGGGTGAAGATGGTTTTTACTGCCCTCAACAAGGGATGGGTGAATTTACTAAAGTAGAATGAGTTAAATCTTAAGATGTTAAGGCTATCAGAAGTAGCATAAACCCTCTAGGTCAGAGCAGAGACATGCTTTTTTAATAAACAATTTTTTTTTGACAGGCTAGAGATCAAAATACCATATCCTTAAAACTTTTGAAGAACTCATTTTGCCTATTCCTACAAAATTGCCCTTTTTTTATAGTCCTTCATTTTTAAACTAACAAGCCTTACTTATACAGTATATAACCTAGAAATAGTTTTGGGACTTCTTAGTATGTCTTTCAAGTTTATGAAAATGTGTGGAATATCATACTGTAGACATCCCAAAGAGTGGAGCTATGGAGGTTTGCAGAATGATACCTAAAACTGCTCTGTCAGTATCTGATTTTCAGTTGAAAATGTTGGTTTGCTCTGACTTCCTGTAATACATGAAAGTAATTAGCTTTAGTCTAAAAAGCACTTCCTGCTTAAAGTTCAAAGGTAAGGCTAGTTAATCCTTTTCATTAATCTTAAAATATCTTTCTAGGAATTTGAGGCATATTCAAATAGTCTTTGTAACTTTAAACAGTAAAGTTGTTTGCAGCATGTTGTGACCCCAAAGTGAAGCAGAAATGTCATATCTTGTGTTCATTTTTTTCCCTTCTGCCTTTTCAGTATTGTTGATAATGTTAAATACATAATATTGGAAAATACTCTGTTATTAGGGAGGAGATTAATTTTTAGTAGATTTGACAAAGTTGGAACTGAATTGTCTTCCAAAACACCAGGTTTTTATTTTGCCTGTGTTATGTGCCAGCCTTCTACAAGACAAAATAACAGATAAAGTAATGAGTACTGAGAACTGGACTTAAGCAACATCAGTTGCTGTATTTCGGTTTGCTTTTAGGTTTTTCAGGGATAGCGGATTTAAGGGACACCTATTTGAAAAGCAGAAAAATATATAAAATTCAAATCATTCCATGTGTTTCTTTAAGAATCTTATATTTGATTTTGTGACAGAAAAATATTTTTTAGTGTAGGAGAAACCAATATCATGTTACAATAGACAAACCTTTTTGAATGCTTCTAATGGAGGATGAGATTTGTTGCGAAAGATGTGACAGATGTCATCCATTTGTTCAGCTTTCAAAATAGTTCTGCTTTTTGTGAAATATCTAATGGAATTTGGTCCCTGCTTTCTAATAACAATGTGTTATAAGAAATAGCCTATTGAGTTAGGCAATTTAGCACCTTTTGTTCTCCTCTGACAGTGGCAGAAGGGATACCATTTGGGAAGAGTTGTATGACCACTTCTGCTCGCTTATTCTCCTCATTCATAGTTCTATTGGGGATTTGAGAGATACACACATCTATCCCCTTTAGGAAGTGTTTATAGATTTATTGTCCATTAATTCATCCATGTCCTTTTTGAACAAGCTGACATCTGCCTCCGTAACTTTATCTGGCAACTTGTTCTGGAAGTGTGCTGCTTGCTGTGTAAACCAGTCTTCTACCAGTTTCATTCAGTGCCCCCAGTTTCAGATTCACAAGGTTTGATGACAGCTCTGCATTGCCTTTTTCTGCTACCTTCATGCTTTATGTGTTGTTTTGGTTTTTTCTGGACTGCAGTTATACCCTAGTAGCTATTGTGCTGCCTTCAGAGTGTGTTTAACGTTCTTGCTTTGCCCAGTGGCTTAAGAGGGCAAACATTCTTGTTCGTTATTACCCTGCCAAAGAAAGATTTATATATATATTTGTGTAGTATTTTAAGAAAAGAACGTAACACAAACATAAAATGTTAATAGCTTTTTACTTTGAGGAAGTAGAGAATACTGTGGAATCATTGTACTTTTATGAACTTTTCATTAAACTTGCTTCCAGGCAGTGTTGTACTTCTGAAAATTGAAGTCCTCTTGACCTGAACTTTATTATTTCCTTCCTGTTCTATTGAATGCAGGCAGGAATCTTTCTGCCTAGCTAAGGGGCTGCTCTCCTAATTTATTAACACTGAGTTTATTAAACAGTATCCTTCTTGGGTAGTCGTGACCCTCTTACCCTACATTCAGTAAAGCTGTTTTAGAAACTCAGGTCTTGCATGTCTGTAACTTTTCTGAAGTACAAATGTGCCTGAGGGTGGAAAGCAGTCCTATGCCTAAGTTAAAAGTTCTCTTTAAAGTTACTTCAGTTAAAAGTTATATCTCTTATACCCTAAATGATGATACACTGGCAGAGAGTTTTATAAGTTAGTTTTTAAACTGATTCAAAATGAGTACTGGCAGGTCAGTTACTGCATAGTTCCATTTTTCTTCAAGTCTAAGTTCCTTCAGGTTTTTTGAGTTTAATGTCAGAGAACAGCTTTGAGGCCCTTTTGGTTTCCACATGGGTTCTAGTCCGAGAGTGCTATCTAAGCAGTAGAAATAGTCAACATCTGCACAAGGTTTCATGGTTACCTTTCTTCTCCCAGGACAACTAAGATTATAACTGTCATATACCTGTTAAAACTCTCATTTTGTGTGTGGGGGGGGGGGTTAAAAAAGTTTAAGTGAAAAATAAGTATTTCACAAGCAGTGGGCTTCAGTGGTTTCAGCCCAAGTGTGTGCTTGCAGTGACCAACTAGGCACTTCTTAGGAACAGACCAATTCAGCTCATACCCAACAGAACAGTGATACTGCAGTGTACTGCATACTGTTTGGGCCAAAGATATTACATAGTGACAGGAGAGAGGTAAATGTTATGATTGCTCCTGTCACTGGAGTGAATTCATTGCATGTGCACAAATTGTATGTCTGTTTTACGCTGCCTGAAAAGTACTACAGAAAATGAGCTGGTTGGAAGGGGTTACTGTAATTATATCTCTCTCAATTCTTTACTAGAGTTCTCAAGACAATTTTATTTTCCCAGACT